CCGGCGAAATGTCTGGAAATGTACCACGCCCGAGGTCCGACTCTGGAAATGATCATGCATACTATTGACTCCGGACTAGGTGTTGTCCTCTAGGTCTTCCTACCAATATGACCAAGATGCGAAAACAATGTCAAATAACTTCTATTCAACGAAAGGAGACAGCGACCATACAAATCGTCACACTATCTTGGTCTTCATGCCTTCAATTAACTTATTTTTAGTTGTCTGTTATCAAATCTCAATTTTTTTAGGCTGAATTTTGCCGCCGCCAGACTCCACGAGAAAATTCTATACCCTCATCTCGTTCCCTTATGGGCCTTGCTAATGCATCCACTCGCCATTCCATTACATCTTCTGACATGCCAATCATTCGAAAAACGCAACCGAAGCGTCTGTATGAATCGTTTAATGGTCATCGTCGACCTAAAATAGCTGAGGTGACTAAGCTTGGTGAGCTAAGATCGAATAAAACTCCTGATCGTTGTTCATTCGATCAAAAAAGCTGGTCAATTCCAGACACTGGGCCAAATACCAGTCTCGCCAGAGATGAGAAAGGCGTCTATGTAAACCGTCCTCTTCGGCAGCTATCAGAATTCATCCAAACAACTAGCGACTTTATCGCCTCGACGAATGCTCGCATTGACAATTCTAGGTCGGAAATGCAAGCAATTGGTCGTCATCATGGCCTTACTAGTTGGTCTACTCCTCAGGCCTCAAGGACACATAAAGACGGGTCCGGCGACAAATGGGTCACTTTTGGGCAAAACTCTGCTCATTCACAAGGTGGGTGAATCATTAACAATTTGGAACTTAGATAAAATACACCTTTATACGGCCTCTTCTCTATCTTACTTTTGCATGAATGCATTGAAAAGAGTCTTCTCACCTCAGCATAACTGACAAATTAATTCTTCACTAAAATTCCGTTACTTCTAAATGGGTTTAATCGTACATTATTTGTGACAGAACTTTTGCATTCTTTCTTCTCACTTAGTTCGGTGTCTATACTGTATTTCTTTCCTTTATTCTATACCTTTTCCTGTTTTAACATTGACCTGACTTATTCCTCAAGAAAGAACAATGAATTGAAGAAAGACTTTATTTTATTAATTAATTCCAAATGTTTTTGCCTTAGTAGTCCTCAGTTAAATTATTTTGCCGGTAAGGTTTTATATCCTCCAAGATCAGCCTACATGAAGGTAATCTTTTTATACAATTTTATATGCGAATGAGTTTGCCGGGATGAACAACAAAATTATAATTGTTTTTGGATATTTTCATTAATTAAATAGTTCTTTTATTAATATTAATATTAATTATTTTATTCATATTAATGCTTATGGTCACTTGTAGTTTTGGTATATTGCCATTGAAACCTCTTTTATGAGCAGAAGAAAATCATTTGTAGATCCTAAATGGATCCTACTCACCAGATGTCATGAAAATCGGTGGTACTAAATAATTCTCATCCACCTTAGGTAGAAAATTTTCTTATTATTTAAGTTTTGAACAAGAAATCTTAATCTCTGAACCGCTACAGATCTAACTGGTACAACCAGAAAAACCTTCAAATTACATATTGTATTTCCCTGAGACTGTTGAAGAATGGCTTCTCTGCGATTTAATTAATCGAAGATGCCTCTCCATCAGATACGTGGTTACATATATTTGTTTTCTCATTATTTCTTAAGGTTTTTGTAATATAAAATTTATCAATTGTATTGCTAAGTTGTTCTAGGCAGTAGGTAACTTAAGAAAAACCACTAGTTTCTTTGCTTTACTATATTGTCATACTAGCTGATTTCTTTGCTTGATTTTATGCAATTATGGGAATGCTGGTGCAACTATTGTGCACCTATTCTTACTCATGCTCATGTGATTATATTGGGTAAGTTTAGTTTCTGGGTTTTTACAACCATACAAATTTTATACTTATACTCCTCTTCAGCCAATGGTATTTTTTCATTTCCTTTTAGAATCTAGGCCTAAGTTTGATATTCTCAGAACTCAGCATACTCACAGAAAGGAGTCACCACGTGTTTTCCCTGAGCCAGGTGAATCACCAGCCAAGTTATCCTCAATAAATCCCGATGGCCATGATTTGCCAAAGTACAGCAGACCTCCTCCTTGTCGCCTCAAGTCTGGCTCGAAAGAACACACTAAGCCTATTAAAAGCAGACTGGAAACAGACTATAGCATCCTTAAAGGCGGCTCATCTGATAAGGAGGTAGATTTTAACCTAACATGTACTCAAATTTTTGGTCACCATTTCTTAATCCACTCTTGCAGCTATAAGGCGGATGATCCCACCCTCTTAGTGAAAGGTTCTGGGATTTAGTTAGATTCGAGACTCCTATAGCTGTAGAGATTCTTTTGGTTGTTTAAAGGGGTAATTGGATTGTGTACTCATATATCAAATTAACTAATGCTGATTTTCTCAGCATCTTTTAAGAAGTTGACAATCATACTTAAGAAAGGAGTAAAATTCTGACTCCAAATGAGGTAACCCTCTAACATTAGTTTTGATTTGTTTGTGCTTGCCTTTCTATCAATCGTTTCGCTAATGCCTTATGTATTTGGCCTGATCCAGCAATCTCTAACTAGATATAAATATTCCTTAAGCGAAGGTATGAAGACCAAGATGTTATAGCCTTTTGTGTAGTCGCAGTCTCCTTTCATTGTATAGGATGGTTGGGCTTCACTTGTCTCTTTGATAGGGCGTCCATAAAATGACCATCAAATTAATTTTATTCGCTTATCTAGAGACATCTTACACAAATATATTTAATCTTGGATGATTCAGTCGATATATTGCCTTAACGTCGTGTATATTGAGAGCTTATCTTGGCATCTAAGTTTAATCCAGTTTGAATTACTTTCTCTGGTACCTGCTCTGCCCATAAAGACGATTCTGCCATAAAGAGGGCAAAAATCCTTTTAGTTTATGGTGAAAAGAAATCAAAGATTTTTACGAATAGAGTTTTTAACCACAAATATTAATAAAACATAGAAAATCTCACATTATTTATTGAAAATGATACAATTTTCGTTGGCCCGATCCTCTATCTTTAATTAGCTCACAATTTAGTTATATTCTATTTTTGCTCATTGTTAGACATTATTGATCTGTTACATTTTTCTTGATTAATAAGGAAAACAAGGTTATTATGAAGATTTTTGAAATGATGAATCTCCTCATTTAGATATTCTTGCCATTCTCCAATAGCTTTTAAAGACTCTCTTCAAATTTAACATTAATCGAGACCACTTTCTATATACTATACTTTTAGAAAACGAGTACAACCTTCTTTGCTTCTATTATTGCTGTTATACTTATTACCATTTAATGTTTACTTGTATCTACAGCCTTCCTTGCGTACAAAGGTTAATCCCATTAAAGCATTAAAATTGGCCAATTCAAGGGGCCCGGATGGCGCGCGGGTTCACCAATTGCGTCACATTCTTCTCAAGCACCATCTAAAACTTTTGCGTGTCAAAGGTGCATATGAGATGCGCAGACGTCTAATTCAGCATTTAACGGAGTTGTTGAAGACTATCGAAGCTGACAGTCACAAAGCGGTAAGATAAGACAAATTATGCTCTTAAGGTCCTTTTAAATTTATAATAACTTGCAGTGTCTAGTGGATATCTTATTAGATATAAATAAGCTTTGAAAACATCAGTAGATCTTATATAAAAACTTGGGTCCTCTAGATAGGGTAGATATAATGTTTTATCTTTTGGCGCACAGCATTGTTTTGAATTACGGTGGGGTGCTGGGAAGGCTCAGACGAGGTCATTATTGCGATCAGCTCGGGGTTAGGATACTCTTCAGAAATTGTATCACATCATAATGCCTACTTATTTCCTTGTAGGAAGTTTCATTTATCAGTCGTTATACTCCAGTACTTATTAAAAGTATACTGATAATTTTGAAGCCTACTCATGCAATATATTTGTACGTTGGACCGAAGACTGTTTAACGACCTTCCATGCTCGTAATAATCTGACCCTCCATTTTAAACTTTCACCATTCTAATAACCCATACCTTTCTAATTTTATATCTTTCGTCGCTCTCGCATAATTACTTTTTACAGCATTATTCAAGGCATGAAGACGATTGAATCGAATGATACAAGATGCTAAAACAGCTATGCAGTAGTTTCATAATGTTTCATTTTTAAGTTCATAGTTTTCTTGTAACGCGAAGCTGATACCTTGTCAACAATTCTCTATTTTTAAGTTAATGAAACGCTTTTATGATGATATATCTAAAAAACTGTCAGCACTTGTAGCTTCGTGCGATTATCGTTGAGCGACATATAAGCAGAGTTTCGAGACTACCAGTAAATCAGTTATATGAGATGTATCCACACTATTTCTCTTAAGGTGAAGAATGAGTGGTAGTAGATATGATTAGAACTGACGTTTGACATAGCTTTGCTTTCCCCAAAGTTGTTATCATCCAGGCACCAGTGGACTGCAGTTTCGACCTCGCCTAGGTCTTATCAACACCCCTAGCGGGAGTCGAACCGTGACAGTGTAGCATGTGAGCCTGACACGTTAACCACTCAGTCACATTGCCACGAGTGTCCTTAGGCCACGAAGTGTATATGAATCTCAAGGAAGGCCAGGCATTTTCTCATTCTTTGGTGGGATTGCCGATGAAGCGAACATATTTTTGCTATAACAGTTGACTATATTACTTAATCTTTGTATATAAGTAGTGTATCACGACTAGTAGTGTATCAACTATATTAGATGTATTCACTACATTTCGTTTAGGGTGACGAAGGACAGGTAGTAGAATCGGCAATCACACCGAAAAATATTATATGGAACAAATCTGACCTTCCCTGAAATTGACATCTGCCTTGTGACCCAAGAGCACTCGTGCCAATGTTGCCAATTGGTTAACGTGTCAAGCTCATATTCTGAACTGTCACGGTTCGACTCCCACTGTGGGTGTTGATAAGACCTATGCGAGATCGAAACTGCAGTCAAGCCTGGATGAGAACAGCCTTTGGGAAAGCAAGGCTATGTGAAATTCAATCGAAACGTCAGCTCTACTCATAACATTGTGGGAAAATTCAACTACCAGTCCTTCATCACCCTAAATGAAATAGGCTGAATAGATCTCATAAGCAATCATGGATAGGTCTTAGTAATTAGAAAGAACGAAAACATTTCCCCTAAGATGCCAATGTTCAAAGATTTTTATTTCCTTATTCTCGACTACCTATCCCCGTAAGTCCGCCTTGCTCATCTGATGAGTTTTCTGTGCGAAATAATATTTGCATAAATTATATAATTTTTAATAGAACCATAATCGAACTGAATAGGTGAGTCACTACCCTATTTTTATAGGTGGTTCATTAACTTATCTAGTCCTTAGTCTATTAACCAAGCGCAAATATTAATTTTATACTGGAGTTATTTTTGATACTATCTATAATTCTCGATTATAAAGTATTAGCTGGGGTTATACAAGCTCCTATTAAGGCTATCTAAAATGGAATTGAAGGAAGAGATACACAACTATGCGCATGAGCCAATAGAAAGGGAAGAGAGATGCCAAAATAGGTTAGTGATAAATAGGCTGTCAGAATCGTCCTTAATTGATAACTTCGACGAGTTAAAGATCTGTGTTAAAAGTGGTTACTTCGACCGACTATGCCAACGCGACATCTGAGAGTGTACAAATTCAACGGTCCGGTGCTCGAAATTATTATGCCTAATATGTCAAAAGATGAATAACTGGATACATTTTACAGGGTCTCCATGTCTCCCTTCTAACCAAGCTGCGTAAATGAGGTCATTTAAATCCAATTGAAAATCTGCTATTTGAAGGGATCTTTAAGGGGTCTGCATACTCATTTTGGAAATCAAAGTTTTGGTCTTGCAGCTATTATTTTTTATTCCGCAAGTCCTTTCTTCCTTACTTCTATTTTCGTAATGGAATTACTGTTCGATCTTGTCCTACTTTTGTACGTCCATTGCTACTTTGAAATTATCGTTGGCGTTATACCAATGACTTCATTATTTTGATTACCTTTAATTATTAGAATCATTTATACTAGTTATATTCCCCCATATGTGAACAGAGAATGTATCAGCCTGACGTCTTGCATGTAAGGTGAACCTGTAGATGCAGAAAAAATATGCGCTACATTTGAGTTATGTAGACAATTATGGCATGGCCTTTAGTTAGCTTGCAGTCTCCCTTCTTTTTACAGAATAACCATGTAAAGTGTCATCTGGCACTGTTTGTGTGCACTTACAATATCGGATCGTTTCCCGTATACATTTATAGACGCTTCAGCAACAAGGGATTTCATCTGTCACCTTGATTAGTCAAGGTTTGGTGCTACTACTGGCCTAGTTCGCTGGCGATGCCGACTAAGATGTTAGCGAAAAATTAGAGAATAAACCTAGTCAACGGCCTAACGCCGTAAGAGTACAATGTACGAAGGCAGGGGGCGCGATACAGTTTGCTTTATTCTTAGTATCTCTGTAAACATGGTCAAGTAGGCCAATTATAATAAGTACTTTTTCTTCATGTTTCTATACTGTAAAGAACAAAAATGGAAAAGATCAGCCATATATTCACTGAATCTTCCACTGGCTTTTCGACTCTCTTCGTTTAGGTTAATCTGTAAGACTGGTGGTAAAAGATAAATATGCGGCTTAATGGAGAAAAGGGGAAGAGTTAACATAACTAAATTTGTTCTGCCAAATTATCCGTTTGCACAAAATGTCGCTGTTTTATGTCCACACAGATCTATGAGTGAACCTCCAGAAGTGTCATGTACGCACAAATAGTCCGTAGGGCAATCAGTAAGGGTTGTTCTTAGATGTATGCTGTAACTTGGTTATTGTTTGAACGTGGTAAACCTGAGGAAAAAAAAGAAAACCAAAACGAAGAACACATCATCTTGGTCTTCGTATCTACGACTATATTGCTTATTAGTATGTAAGTAGAGTTTCGAGACTACCAGTAAATGAATAATAGGAGATGTATTCACCCTATTTCGTTTGAGGTGATCAAGGACTGATAGTAGAATTTTCCCACAATCATATGAGTAAAGCTGACGTTTCCATTGAATTTCGCATAGCCTTGCCTTCCCGAAATATGTTCTCATCAAGGGCGGACTGCAGTTTCGAACTAGCATCGGTCTTATCAACACCCCCAGCGAGAGTCAAACTGTGATAGTGCAGAATATGAGCTTGAAACTTTACCCACTCGGCCACATTGCCACGAGTGCCCTTGGGTCACAGGGTAGATGTGAATTTGACGGAAGGCAGCACTTTTGCCATATCACATTCTTTAGTGGGATTGTCGATTAAGCAAACGTATTTGTGCCATAACAATAGACTACATTACTTATTTTTCGCATCTTAGTAGAGTTTCGAGACTACTAGTAAATCAGTTATATGGGATGTAGTCACACCATTTCGTTTAAGGTGATGAAGGACTAGTAGAAGAATTTTCCCACAATGACATGAGTAGTGCTGACGTTTCCATTCAATTTCATATATCTTGCTTTCCAAAAGTTGTTCTCATCCCGGCTGGGGTGGACTGCAGTTTCGACCTCGCATAGGTCTTATCAACACCCCCAACGGGAGTCAAACCATGTCAGGGCATCGTATAATCTTGAAACGCTAATCACTTGGCCACATTACCACGAGTTTCGTTGGTTCACAGGGCAGGTGTGAATTTCAAGGAAGGCCATGCATTTTCCCATATCGTATTCTGTACTGGGATTGTCGATGAAGCAAAGTTATATTTGCTATAACAATCGACTACGTTACTTACTTAATTGCGAATTGACTTTAAAGAATTTGTGAAAGGAAAAATATTCTGATTTGGCATCGTAAATTATAAGAGCATTTCATCCTCTTTCTCTTTGTTGAACATTAGATTCCTATTTCACCTGAGGATTGGGACACAGATTCTACCTCTCTGTTGGCGGATCTGTTGAATGAAGTTGCATTAGATTCCGGTGGTGAGCTCTCTGATATTCTCGCATCAAATTGCCCTTCTCAACCTGTTCCGCTCAATCCCGGTCCTGAAACTCACCGTTCAGCCTCTTCTACTCGTCACTCCCGCTCCTCTGATCGCTGCCCTACACTTCTGAAGCAGCAAACCCACTTATCTCACAGCAATCCAGTTTCTTTGGGTCGAATGGGATCGCCGCTTTTTATTGATTCTCCAGCTGTTCAGGATCTCACAGGGTCGTTAGATGTGCCCCATCATGCTCTCTACAAATCTTCTTCACCCAGATCTAAGCAGAGGTCCTGTACAAGAAAGTTTGAAATAAAAGGTGGTCCAAAGCCCCCAAGAGACCTCAAGAAAGAAGCTTCCAGATCTTCGCTCTGTCCTGGTCATTGCCAGGAACGTCCTGCTCACTCTTCCTGTTCTCTTGGAATATTTGTTCAGCCGCCACCACCTCATGAGATGCCCAGCACCTTGCCTTATGACGAAGGAGGTGTTCGTCAGAGATCAGTGATACGACAAGAAAAAGCATATTTAAAAGAAATCCCGGCAATTTTAGGTAGAAAATTATTATGCAGATTCACTTTCTTCTTATG